AGTGCAGTGGTTCTCAACCTTCCTAATGCCGTGACCCTTTAATACAGTTCCTCATGTTGTGGTGACCCCCAACCATAAAATTATTTTCGTTGCTACTTCATAACTGTGATGTTGCTACTGTTATGAATCGTAATGTAAATATCTGATATGCAGGATGTATTAGGCGACCCCTGTGAAAGGGTCGTTCGACCCCCAAAGGGGTCGTGACCCACAGGTTGAGAACCGCTGGTCTAGTGGGAGGAATGGACGTGGAGCAGTGAGCGGACGCTCTGTGATGTGATAGAGAGCTAGGACTTCACAGCCAGCAGCCAGGGGACAAGGCACCATTTCTATCCATGTCTTAAAGGAGGAGGATCTCTAATCAGGGGACCTAGTGTTTAGCTACCAAAGGCCTTCCCAAAACAAGAGAAATCCTCTACTGAGCCCTCACATCTCTTCTCCCTACCCCGGCCCCTCCCCAGCCCTACAACCCTTCAACCCCACCCCACCCCCAATTTCCTGAGAGCCGGACATTCCTGCGAATAGCCTAGGCCGTCCACGCCCAGTTCTCAGCGCCATATCACCCAGCGCTTGGAACAGCTGCACTGCAAGGGGCATCCGGGCCAGCCCAGGCCTATCACACAATGATATGCCGCCCAGCCAGGAGAAGGCATTGTACAGCCTCAGTCCCCGCTAGCCACAGCCAGGGAGGCCAGGCTTGGGGAGGGTCTAAGTGGCCCTCTGGGAGGCCCCTGCCAGAGGAAGGGCCGGGCCCAGGGAGGAAGGACGGAAGGCAGCCGGGAGGTCAGAAGCTGAGCCCCAGGCACAGAGGCACCTTGGCAGGGGGGAGGGGGAGGGGGAGAGGCAGGGCCTGACCAGGCCTTTCGGCCATGCAGACCACAGCCAGCAGGTTAGACAATCCTGGATAACCAGTCCTAGCTTCTCAGGCAGGTGGGGATCTGCAGAAGTCACCTATCCAGGCAGAAGATAAAAAATCTACCTATTTCTGGTTCAAAAATCACCAGCAATCACCCCCATGAAAGTCTGTGAGCCGGGGACACTGCTCTCGGCAGCTCACCTCATATCTTTAGGGCCGAGGGCTCTTCTCTGTATGAACTGTGGCCCCTGCTGCTGTTGGGAAGCCTGCTTCCCCTGGCTCCAGCTCAGAAAAGCCCAACCTGGGCCCTTCCCTCTGCTGCTCACCAAGCAGGCTGGCCTTCTCTGGCCCTTCCCTTCGCTCTGCTCCTCCAGGGATGTTCTGCAGCCTCTCAAATGCTGCCTGTGCACCCGGCTCAGTGCCTCCCAGTAACACGGGCTCTGCAGGTCGTGAGAGTTCCTCCCTTCCCAGCCCCCGTGGCAAGCAAGTGGGTGCAGGAGGCACCACGCCTACTAGGCGTCCTGCCGTTTCGGGGTTGCCAGGCAGAAAGGAGAGTGGCAGGAACTGATGTGGAAGGAGCGGAGCCACGGGCATGTGGCCACAGGCTCCGCTCCCAGGGCCCTGGCACGTACTGTAAGCAAGTCCAAGTCCTGCCCTGTAATGCCAGTCCGTTCCATGAAGAGGAAGGAGCACAAACCTGGGAAGCAGGGAAGCCAGGCTTTGGCCCCAGTCCCTCATTCACTTGTGACAAGACACAACCTTTGGAAACCTCAGTTTCCCGACGCATTAAATGGGGACAGTAGAGCCTCTCGGGGCTTCCTGGTGGGCGAGGGGGAAATCAAAGAAGTACTAACACGTGTGAACGTGTTTGGGGGAGCACAGAGTATTGAAACAAAGGCAGAGATGTGGCACACACCGCCACTTCTCTGTCCTGTGCCCAAGGCAGACGCTGCTAACCGTGTCAGCACTTTCTCATCAAGCTACATTGACACTTCAGAAGCCCTCTCACATATAGTGTAGGAAGCCATGCCCACAGGTCCAAGTGGCAAAATGAAGCCCCTCCCCCCAGGGCCTGCACGAGCTCAGGGCATGGTTGCTGGTGCGGAGATTCCACCAGGCCCAGGCGAAGCGGCTGGGAACTAGAGCTGGTGGCGAGTCAGAGGTCCTGCCCATGGTGAGCGAGCGGTCCCGAGGCCAGAACTCAGACAGCCCGGTTCAGTGGTTCTCAGCTCTGTAACCGAGTTCAAAAGGGCAGGCTGCTATTGGACACCCACCCTCCGGGAGCTCACACCCTAAGCCTAACCCACCGCACCCATGCGGAAAGGAAGGCGGCCGTGCAAGGCGGGGACCGCGAAGGGGCCAGACAGCGGAGCTCCCTGTGGCTGGGACAGACACTCAGCTGGGCTGTCGGTGTCTGCTTCTCAAGAGGCCTTTGGACCCAGCATCCTGGCTGGCAGCCCCAGTTCCTCTTTCTGCCCATTGCTGTTCCCTGAGCAAATCGTAGCTCAGCCTCAGCGGACACCCAGTAAGGCTTCTGCAGACGGCAGGGCTGCAGCGCCCACACTGGGATGGAAGGTGACAGGCCTCTGCAGCCCCCAGCCCCACCGTGTCCTTCAGAGTCCCCTCCCCAGACTATTCCCTAAAGGGGGCAGTGCCAGCCCCTCTGCCCCAGGCTGCTGCATGGAGGAGGGAGCCCTGGCCAGGCAGGAGCAAGGGCTACCCCAACATTGGTCTTTTGAGAAACAGGCCCTGTGGTTCTGCGTGTTCGCCCCAGTGCCCACCGCCAGGCCCCCTGGCTGGGCCAATCTGACCCACAGCAGCATCTGCAGTGGCCTCTGTGGCATATTTTCAAGGAGTGTCAGTTCCGTTCCCTTGGAGGGAATGGAAGCAGAAGGTCTTCGTGAAATATTAGGAGAGGGCTCACAGGCGCCGCCGTCATCCCTGATACAGGGGAACCTCGGTTCTCAAACTTTTAATTCCTTCCAGGAGGCTGTGCGAGAAGCGATTTGTTCGCAAACCAAATCATTTTTTCCCATTAGAAACCATGTAAATTGAATTAATCCATTCCAGACCCCCAGAGGATTCCATTTTAACCTTTCTTATATATAGTCCATGTCCAATGTACTGTATAATCTACAAATAAACACTTCTTAATCTAACCACCCCTACTAGCCTTAAATGAATTCTTCATATATCACCCACTAACTGCTTTTGTTTATCCAAATCAGCAATAGTTCTTCTCCCTCTTCAGTGGCCTGTGGTTGTTGTTTTGTGAGCCCTGTCACGCCCTTAGCAACATTGGCACTCTGGAAGGCTTCTTTTTGTTTTAAAACTGTGCTCATCTTTGATTTCTCCAGCAACAAAAGCATTCTCTCCTTTGTTGCCTGAGAGACGCTTTTTGTGATGCTGAGGCATCAGCATGAAAGGGTTGTCAGGTCAAAACCAAAGTTTTGTTTCACAATCAAGACATTTCTTCCTGTGAACAAATTGATCCAGAACCGAATTGTTCGAGAAGGGGGACTCGAGAACCAAGGTTTGACTGTATATCTCTTAACAATGACTTACTGCCTAAAAACATGGGTTTCTCTCCCGGGGCCCCAGATACTGTCAGGACCCCTGAGCCTCCAGCCTCAGTCCTACCCTGCAGGCGACTTCCTGGAGGCCACAGGCTCCTCCCAGCTCCTTTGGAGGCACGCACCTTGTTCCCATTCCCCTGCTCTGATCCGTGCACCCCAGCTCACAGGTGCTGAGCCAGGGCCCATAGGGACCAGCCACCAGGGTTGGCATCTGCCGGGGCACCACCACCCCAGGGGGGAGCACAGGGCTGCATGGTCTTTTTTCTATTCTAGCACCCGCCCCTCCCTGTCAACTACAGGGAGTAAACAGTAGGGCCCCTGGGGGTGGGGCGTGTGGTCATGGATCAAGATGGAGCCTGGAGCTCAGAGTAAATTTCACTGAAAACAGGAAACCACGAAGCTGAGACGCTTACTTTTGTAAAGGTCCAGAGAAGAAGGGCTCGAGGCCATGCAGGAGGAAGCTAGAGAGGAAGTGTGGTGGCTTTCTGCTCTGGGGCCTCCTCCCTCCCTCCATGCTGCAGCAGCCAGGCCTGGGGTCTGGCAGCCAAGTTCTTAGAAGTTCTCTCTGCCTCCAGGTCAGAAGCTGAGGGCTGGGCAAAGCCAGCCTCCCAGTAGGACAGGCGCACGCTTTCTGAGGGGGGACTGGGGGTCTGATCCATGGGCTTGTCCTACTCTAGGGGCAGCCCCGCCCTGCCTCAAGCAGGTGTCACCCTGCTCATTCCCGTGGGCACGCCCCCCCAGGTGTGAAAACAGCACCCTCTTCCTGTGGCCACGGGCACTGAGTGTTCATGGCAGCAGATGGACCAGAAGAAGGACCCCCAGGGACACAGCAGGCGCCTGGGCTGTGGTGGTCTGGCCATTGGAGGTGTCGGTGTGGTCTCAAGGCCCATGTTCACCCTTTCCTCAGGGCCCCCGGCACAGCAGGCGCTCACACTGGCCCATACCCTTGGGCCTGACCAGGGGAGCTTTAGGAGCAATGCTGTGCATCCAGGGGGCTCTCTGGTTCCAGGCCTGCAGCTCACTTTCTCCCACCCCTGCCAGGTGATCAGGCAGAGTCTCCCTGCCCGCTAGCCCTTGTCCCAGCCCTTGTCCCGGCTCTCCAGCCCAGGCCCAGCTCAGCAGAGTCAGGGTAGCTGCTGGCAGACGAATGCCCATTTGAAGCTGCAGTCAGTGCCTGGGGGCTCCCACCCAGCTCCAACGCACCCCTCCCTGTTCCCAGAGTGTACAGGCACACACTCCCCCCCGCCCCCCCCACCCCACCACACACACACACACACACACACACTCCATGCTTTACAGCCCTTTCATCAAAAGTCCACAAAGGACTTCCCTTGCATGTGTGTATAGGAACAAACTCGAGTCAAGCCTGCAACAGGAGGTGGGAACAGAGGGTACTGAGCAGAGTGGACACAAACCTTCTATGGACACGTCCTGCTCCTCCCACCCGACAGGGTCCCTCTGCAGCTGGGCAGATGGAATGGAACAGAAGAGCAAGACGTGGGGGCTCCCGAGGCCTCGGGCCCCTCAGAGCAGGGCTTGAAACCCAGCCCTTACAGTCTGTCACACGGTTTGCACCTGTTGCCCATGAGCTCTTTAATAGTATGCCCTCTTCACTCTCAAAAGTGTCACAGTTTGGACAGTACAGTCTGTGGTCACCCTTTCTAGTGGCCAAACTGAGCAGTGGAGGAGGGCGATGGGGAAGACAGCGCTAATGGCGCCCTCTCCACTCACTTCCCAGCAGGCCCTGGGCTCTCCCTCACCCCCACCCCCACCTGGGGTGGGTGAGCAACCTCGGGCCTGGCCTCCATTGCCCAAGATGCCAGTTGGCTCACAATGGCCTCCGTGCCCCAACGAGTACTTCCTGTTTTGGGGCCTCTGGCCAGTGAACTCTGGAGACCAGAGTGCAGGCAGTGGGAGCCCCAGATTTCTTTCAGTTGCTGACAGCTCCTAGGGGAGGTTACTGGTAGGAGGCTGTTGGGGAGGCTCCCAGGGCCCTGAAGACAGGCAGGCCTAGCTCTGAGCCCCATGGTTACAAAGAGTGAGTCTGACAGATGAGCAGCCTCAGATGAGATGGGGGAGCCGGTCCAACACAGTGGGGTAGAGAGGAATCCCTCCACATCTGGTCAGTGTCTCATTCCAGGGAGAGCAGCACTGCGGGGTCTGCTCAGTACCCATCTTGTCCCAGCTGTCGAGTCCCAAGGCTCATGTCCCTGAGTGGCTGCCACAGAGCGGGAACTCTGGGGCTTGGAGGCTGTAGGTCATTTGGCGGCTGTAGCTGGTGGATTTCAGGTCTCTGCGGTGGGATCCCCACACCCCGCCATTCTTGAGATAGGAGCTGAGTGATCCACACCTTCTCACTTCTGCCATGTAGCATCCAGAGGGATTAAGAAACTGGCCATCAGGGGTATCTCAACGAGTCTGTGCTCAGAGCAGGAGGGAGAAAACCAGGGCCACGGCCAAGGGAACACTCAGAGGGCCAGTCTGGCCCAAATGCACTGGCCCCGGGCCCAGCCACAGCTGCTCACTGGCCCCTGGCTGGTCTAGATGGCCTCAGAGTTTGGGGAGTCAGGAACGGGGTCTGCAAAAGAAAGGAGAAGCAGAGTGGATGGGGGGCTCCCCTGTCCTTCACCCCCAATGCCCCACCAGGAGACTGAGGACTCCAGGGAGGATGGAGAGTAAGGCGGCACTCTGCAGGTTAAGGGGAGGTCATGACCTCACAGGCCATAATGCTGCCGGTGTTGGGAAGCACTCACCTAGCGATGGGAAGAAGACATCCCCGGGGCCTGGGGGAGACAGAGGTGTGCTGGGCTCAGAGAGCAGGTGGCGCCCAGACTCAGACGGCAGCCGCTGGGCCATGTAGGTCAGTGGAGGCCTGGGCTTGTCCTCTGGCATCCCGTGGAAGGATGGAGAGGCCTCAAAGCCTGGGTTTTCAATTCCTTGAGCGTTGCTGCCAGAGAATCAGAACCGAAGGTCATCTCTGCTGCCTTGGGGTTTGCGCCTCTGCCCTCCCCATCGGCCCGCTTTCTCTGCTCCCTTCCCATCACTGGCCTTCCCCCTCCAGGCCCCAGCAGCCTCTCCCAGAGGAAGGGAGATCCAGGGCCAGGGAGAAAAGTGCCCTCGGCCCTGCCAGGACGCCCAGGGTCAGAGGAAATTCCAGGACACCAGCCTCAGGAATCTGGGGCCACGCTGCTCTCTGGTCATAGAGTCAATGGCATTAGGACTGAGGGTCCCCACAGCTGAAGGGAGGGGTCCTCTTTTCTTATCCTCTTTCTTCTTCGGAACGGGACAACCTCTAAAGACCCCTCCAACCTGAGACTCTAGCAGGATCACTAGCAGGACTTCCTTCGACCAGTCTTGAAAATCATCCCTTACAAACACCCAGAGGAGCAGGTACCAGGGCCAGTTCCTGAGTGTGGCTCGTTCCTGAGCAAGCCCTCCATGCCAGTCTACAATGCCAGCTTCTGCCCAGGGCGCACCAGCACACACTCCCCTATCCACTGTGCCCAACCTCCTGCCCCACTCTGAGCCCAGACAGCCTCTGCCCTTAGGGACAGTGGCCTGACAGCTCTCTCTCTGGAGTGCCTTGCAGGGAGGGCCCCAGCTCCAGGTGTGCTGGCCTCTTTGCATGTTTCAACTCAGCTGCTTCCTCCTCCTCCCCCACCCCAGCCCACTGACCACTGAGACCTGAAGGTGGGAGCATGGTTTATCCTAACAGTATAGGAGGAAGAACAGCCGACCCGCACAGATGTGTAGGCCTTGGTGGCAGGTGGCAGATGCTCTTCTAAACAGCTGTGCTCGGCCGCTGAACAGGCCCCCTACTGCCCAGAAATACCTCCTTCCTGACAGCTGGCCCAGGGCACAGGGAGGACCAGGGGGCCATGTCTGTGTTCTGACCCCTGTCCTGGCATCAGGGCCCAGGAAAGAGGGGGGGAAAGGATCCTGATGAAGTGGGGAGAGTCAGTCTTGGCTGGAAGTTGCCCCACCCCTTCTGCATTAACTTCCCCCACAGTTTGGATGTAGACACTGCCCCACAGGGCCACAAGCCCTGTGAGTCAAGCTGTGAGTCAGGGTAGAGGCAGCTATGCTCAGTTTTCCGGAAGGTCTCCACCAGCCTTACCTGTCCATCCGCACCAGTTCCTGGGCACCTAGGGACAGACAGAGAAGCTGGTCACAAAGGGGAGGCTTCCCCAGACAACATCCCTGCCCCTGCCAGCAGATGCCCCTGGGGGAACGGAGCAGACCCAGGCAGGGCCGAGGTCCCCCACCTGCTCGCTCAGGAGGCCCATACAGCTGCCCTCTGCGTGCTGACCAGTGAGCAGCACGTCTGACCAGTGACAAATGAAACTCGGGCTGCCTTTCACAGTGTGTAGGACAACCTTTGTCACCAGAGACCAAAGGCACCGCTGCTTTCTCCTGTGGCATGACTTAGGCTGTGTTAGACCTTCAGGATTTAAGTATCAACCAAGGCCTGACTCCTGAATTTGCTATTTCCTATTTGGACACTTGCCACGGCCTGGTCTTTATCCATGATTTACTGGGTGGGAGTGTTGCAAGGTCAATTCCTGTTTAGAGGGACAGAGAGGCCCCTCCTCCACGTTGCATAATAGGGTGGCTTCAGAGGTGACATCTCCTAGAGCAGCGGTCGCCAACTGGTGGTCCGTGGGGTCTGAAAGGTTGGCGACCGCTGTCCTAGAGGAATCTTAGGGGCCCTGAGACCCCGTCACTTCTCGGCCATTCCATCACTTTCTGCTCCTCATCCAAGGGGCTGCCACCCTGCCCTACCCCCCAAACTACACACCGACCGAATGCAGTGGCCCCAACTTCCCTCTTTCTTGCAGCTCCCCATGTACTCCCACGATCCTTCTCGTTTTGAAGGGCTTCACTGCCGATAGCTATGGGGAAACCGATGGTGGGGGAGGGGCACGACAACAGAAGGCACAGGGAAGTTGCACAAAAGTTCCCGAAACCTCTGCGGTGTGGGAATCATGGCTACTGTTTACCGGGGACTCCTGTGCGTCAGGCCTCCTGTGGGTTCTCTCTGGTCCTCAGCTCGTCCTGTCCTCCACCCTTTAGGGCAGTGGTTCTCAGCCTTCTGGCCCTTTAAATACAGTTCCTCATGCTGTGACCCAACCATAAAATTATTTTCGTTGCTACTTCATAACTGTAATGTTGCTACTGTTATGAATCGTAATGTAAATATCTGATATGCAGGATGGTCTTAGGCGACCCCTGTGAAAGGGTCGTTCGATCGCCAGAGGGGTCTCGACCCACAGATTGAGAACTGCTGCTTTAGGGTAAGGATTGGCAGTCCCACCTCAGACCTGGGGAAACCAGCCTCCCTCTCATACTGGGTCGGCTTCCACACCCATCAGCCTTTGCAGCAAACGGCCCTCCTGTGCTCCCAGCCCTTCCTCTTCCCTTTTTCCTGAGTGGGGCTCCGCGCCTGAGCGCACGCTCCGCGCCAAGCCCGGGCCACTCAGCCTTTGCCCTGCGGCCCGACTCCTGCATGTCCCCGTGACTTCTGTCCCCTTAATCCCAGCAGCTGCTTCTCTAGAGTCTAGATCAAGAAAAATGACCCAGCCCTAGCTGGTTTGGCTCAGTGCATAGAGCATCAGCCTGCGGACCAAAGGATGCTGGGTTTGATTCTAGTCAAGGGCATGTACCTCAGGTGCAGGCTCCTCCTCGACCCAGGCCCTGGTCTGGGCTCGTACAGGAGGCAACCAATCGATGTGTTTCTCGCACATGGGTGCTTCTCTCTGTCTTTCCCTCTCTCTTCCACTCTCTCTAAAAACCAATGGAAAAATATCCTCAGGTGAGGATTAAAAAAGAAAAATGGCCCAAGTCTCTGCTCCCTCTCCAGTTTGCACCTGCTTTCTCAGCATCGCCCCCTCCGGCCTCTCTTGTGTCTGTCTCCAAAGACTTCAGTCCTACAACTCATTTCTTCTTTTTGGAAGGGGTGGAGGGACTGGCTTCAAATATACTTTCATTAGAAGATAACTTATTGACACCTTTCTGTTATGGCGTATGTTAAATTGAGGGATGAGATGCTACGAAATGGCTAAGAACACAGAAATGGGGTTCATTTGGCATTTAAGAGGATGTGCTCAACAGTGGTGATAGTGCAGCGCCGTTGGCCCAATGTACCCCCTTATTCCCTCGGTCAGTCCAGTTCTCCAGCATCCAGTTCATCTGTGCCCTCCTGGTCCCTTCGTCTGGGAAGCCCTCAGGTGTCCTGGTGCGTGGAGTAGAAGATACTGGGGGCTGATCCCAGTGTCCCCACACCCTCAGGACACCATCCAGGGCTCTGGCCCGGGGATGTCCCCTCTCTGACTTCCCTGCCTCCAGCCTGGACCACGGGCAGGAGTCTCAAACCAACCTCTGGGGACCCTGCGAGGAAGGCGCTGAGGAAACAAAAGCAGGAACAACAGCGCCCCCGCCCCACATCCTCTGCCTGGAGTCTGCTTCCCAGTTCCTGTTCCCCAGGGGAGGCAGCACCACCGTAGTCTGGAGTGAGGGGGCCAGAAGTCACCTCTGTATCTGGAGCTGAGCCTAGCAGAGCATATGTCGCTCCTGGTCCCTCACCCACCTTCGTAGAAATGCTACCCAGCTGACGGGAGCTGCTGGCAGCGCTGCAGCAATTTCTCTTCCTGGTTGAGCCCCTGGCTTCCTCTTTCTGCTCCAACCACGCTACCTCCCCCACCCCCACCTCAGGGTATTTTGTAGGTAGGTTGTGGTAGGTTTTGTGAGCTAAGAGAGAGGGAGGCCACAGCCCCTGAGTGACCCGCAGTGGAGTTCCAGGCCGGGCCCCCAGGAGAGAGGGGTGTGAGCTGTTACAGCCCAACCAAAGGAAAACATGTGTGAGCCCCAGCCACCTGGTGACAGCAGTTCCCCTCAGCTACCTTCTGCAGCCAAGCAGAGGGGAAGGGTTAGGGGAGGTGATGCAAGGGTCAGGGGCAGAGGGATCCCCCTCTCCTGCTCCTGGAGGACTCAGACGGACCGAGGGTGAGGTCATAACAAGGGCAAAGGGCACTGTCACCTGCAGAGGAGTGTGCCAAGGGGTCAGCGGCCCTGACTTGGAGTCTGGCTCCGCCACTTTTCTCGCTATGCAGTTCCTTAAGTGCATTACTAACCTCTCTGTGCCTCAGTTTGCTCAGCTGTAAAATGGGGACAATGGAAAGACCAAACTCTGAGAATCATTCTGAGGAATAAGTGAGAGAAGGTATATAACAAGCTTGGCAGGGTACCGGGCACAGCAACCTTGCCAGGTAGGGGTTGTTGGCAGGGTACCGGGCACAGCACCTTGCCAGGTAGGGGTTGTTGGCTATGGCGCTCATGCTAATGAGCGTTTGTATTAGAAGGTGAGATTTTACTCCCTGGAAAAAGCGTGAGTTGAAAGCTCTGAGTTTTGAGTCCCAGCTCTGCTACTTACTAAGTTAAATAACATTTGGTTAATTACTTAACCCTGCAGATTTTAGGTTTCTCAGGCATAAAAGGAAAGAGTTGAACTAAGTTATCGCCAAGATCTTGCCTAGTTATGATAATCCAAAGGTCGTTTTTGTCCCCAGGATTGCAATGCTAATAACAAAAGCCCACCTATACATTAAAGCGGGCCCCCAAAGGATCTCTCAGTGGCAGCATTTTTATAAGCCCATTTTTATAAATCAACTGCTCCATATGATTACTCATTCATCAACAGATATTTATTGAGGGCCAAGCCAGCACTGCTGGGGCTGCTGGGCACTCAGGCCCTGGAAGTGGCACCTCTGAGTCCCTCCTCTCCACCGTTGAGCTCAGCTCCTTGCTGGGCTGCAGCAGCTCCCATCTCTGGTCAGAGGACTGTGCCTGCTACACACCCCACACCCATCCCAGGAGGGCAGGGATACTCACGGCGGTTGGAGACCACCTGCCTTTGCTTGTAGACCAGGAGCAGGATGAGGGGGAGGCAGAGGATGCCCACAATGCAGGCGCCCGTAGCCAGGGCGGCAGCCGTGATGTCTGAAAGGGCAGAGAGGCAGCCAAGGTGAGGCCCGTTCCTCCTGAAGGAAAGCTGAAGCCCAGAGAGGAAAGGCCAGGCAGCAGAGGGACCCCCCGCGCCCAGGGTGTCATAGCCAGACCCTCCATGACCGCGGAGGCTTGGACGTTCTAGGAGCCCCCTGAGAGCCGCATGCCTTCTCCCCAGAGGACGCAGAAATTAAGCCAGGTGCCTATAGCTGAGGAAGCTCCGGGAAGAGAGAAAAGGGTCTTCAGCCAGATTGGGGTCGCTCAACTGCCCTGGGCCACGGGGGAGAGTAGGCCTTTCACTGACCCCATGCCACCGAGTTCAAGGTCAAATGGAGCCCAAGTGATGAGAAACTTTTGGAGATAGTGTAAATGGTTGCACTCCCTGGGAGCATAATTAATGTCACTGAATCATACACTTAAAAGTGGTTAAAATGGCCAGTTTTATGTTTTGCCATTCTATTCATTTATAAAAAATAAACGAATAAAGAGCCACACTCATCTCCCAAGAGACCCCTTAGCTCCAGGGTGAAGCCTATGGAGCGAGAACTAGAGAAATATGACTTTTTTCCTTAATAGTTATTTTTTATTGATTTTAGAGGAAGGGGAAGGGAGGGGAGAGAGAAACATCGATCGGTTGCCCCCCACATGTGCCCTGACCGGGGATCAAACCCTCAACCTGGGATGTGCCCTGACCAGGAATCGAACCCGCCACCTTTTGGTGTACAGGAGGACACTCCAACCAACTGAGCCACCCAGCCAGGGCTTTCTCTGGCATTTTTAAATTTTAAACTTTCTAAATTACAAAAACGTTTAAATTGAAAATACATATATTTTAAAGTTTCTTCCTCCAAAGAAGTAAGCAGTGTCTGCCGTTTTCTTGTGTATGGTTTAGATATGCTCTCTGCACGTACAGCAGAGATATGATACGCTCTTCATGGGACAACTGCTTTTTCTGCTTAGCATCGCGTGGACATCTGTATTGGCACAAAGATCGACTTCGTTCTGCCTCGGGCTTTATCAAGTGTATTTGAAACAGCCCCCTGTGGTGGACGTGGAGGTTGCTTCCATTTTTCAGCCGGTAATGTAGCAGTGAATCCGCGTGTGCGCCTTTGCTCACTCGGGCAAGCGCAGGTACATCAATTCCTAGCAGCGAAGGTGCTGAGCCAAAGCCTACGCGCAGTTTCTTTTCGTCTATTGCTAAGCTGCCCTCCGAAAAGGTTGTGCCGCTTCGCAGTCCCACCAACTGCGTGAGAAGTTTGCTTTATTTTCGTCTGTCTGCTGACTCCAGGAGTTCAGCTGGGAACAGACGCGCCCTCAGAACCACAACCAGCGTAAACGCGTTTCCTTCCCTATTTTAGCCCTTCCCAAAATACGGGCAGGATGGCTGGTCACAGTGTCCACGTGGCCCCAGGGAGCTTTGGGAAGGTGTGTGGGCTGCGATCTCCGGTTGTCTCTGCACTGTTTCTCTGGAATGAGGGCTGTTTTTGCCTCACTGTATTGCTCAACAACCCAATGGTGTAAACAAGCTTTCAGGGCTCGGTTCACACCGCAGAAGAGAACAAACTGTTTTCAGGCGCTTCACTACCCACTGGGGCAGGAACAGGGCCTATGCTAATTACAGAGCCAGCTGGACTTCACATTAAAGCAGGCTCCCCCGCAGATCTCAGCGAGGCTGCATTTCCAAGTGGAATATTGAAAGTGAAAACATTCTCTAACTCAGATGTCAGAATATTTCTAAACCCCTCCACAGGACCTTGCTAAGACACCATCCGAGAGGCAGGCTGCGAAGGGCTCTTTCCTAGTCATCAAAGCAGGCCTCCTCCGATTGGTACTAAGTACCTTTTGATGAGGTTAGTCGGGTTCTCATTCATTCCGGCTCCCTATTGGCCCAGCCTCCCTGCCTGACTCCTGTCCCCAGGCAAAGGTGTTCCATCTGCAGCCCCGCTAGGGGATCAGAGCTCGGTTGACTTACAACCTGGTCTGAGAGTTAAGGCTGGGACAGGATGGGGGCGGTGGGGGGGGGGGAGGAGGAGAGGGTGGCGTATGAGTTTAGAGACAGTTCTGTGGACCCAACTGCCCTCTGAATCCATGGACTCCCCTGCAGAGCAGAGAGCATAGCCTCGCTACAGCTCCCCACCCCTCCCCACAAGCATAGCCAGTACTTGGGGGAGGGGGCTCCTGCGCAGCAGCCATCTAGAGTCAGGCTCATCCTGGGAAGGTGACCAGGCATTGGCAGAGGCAGCTGGCAGGCCAGCACCCAGGACTGTGCCAGCCCCTTACAGAGCAGGATGGCATGGGAGGGGCCCCCTGGGTATACACAGAGGAGGGAGTTGGGGTGGGCTGCCTGGTTCCCTAGGGAGGGGGCTGGATGAAAGCAAACCAAAACATCCCACTATGTTGAAGGGTAGGGAGGTTGCTTCTAGGGGAAGGGCTGCCCAGCCCCCCTCCCTGGGGTGGGTGAGAAACCGCAACCCCCTAGCAATCGGGGGCTCCTGGGGGCACCAACTTCCTCAGTCTCCTTTCTCGATACCTCCCTGACCTCAGGCTGACTTGAGCTTTCAGATGGTTTCATGGACGAGCTCCCCTCCTACTTCCCAAAGATAACAGGAGGCTGGGGCCGGCTTAGAGGAGGAAATCCCAAGGGCCTCTTGGCTGGAAGCGTTATTGGCTGACCAGGTACCAAAGCTGGCTGTGGGCACCTGACCTAGGGCCGGGGCTGGGATCTTTCCACAGGGAAGTGGGGCCCACTGAGCACCTGGGTCACCAGGCAGATGTTTCTAAGCCGTTAGAAAACAGGATGTGCCCACTGTCCGCTGCCATCTACTCGCCATCCTGCCTTGGCACAGGGCGATGGGCAGGTTGACTCTGGAAGCCAGGCCGAGGATTCTGCATTACAAGTATTAACAGCCAGCACTTACCCTGTGCCAGGCATGGTTCTTAGCACTTTGCATATAGAACTTCATTTTAGCCCTGTAACAGCCTGGAAAGTAAGTGCAATTGCAATCGTGCCTGTTTGACAGATGAGAAAACTGCGGCACAGAGAGGTTAAGCAGCTTGGCTGATGTCGGGGTCTGAGCGCTTAAGCACTTCCCCGGACTGCCCTTCACGGGAATGAACTCCCCATTTTAAGTTAAGAGTTTGCATAAAATCTGGACTTCTCACTTTGCTTGAAAATTTAGTGGCTCTGCCAACCCTGGGCCCCCCTCCTGTTGTGCCACCGCTGGAACTGCACTTACAGGTTGGCAGCGGGGTGCCAGCCACAGTCTCTGCCCTCAATACTGTATCATTCACCAGCTCCCTGGCCCTGCAGGCATTTGAGTTTTTGAACCCTGAACTAGTTCCTTAGGTAACATTGATTTGTTCCCCTTTTAGTAGGAGAGAGACACCTGATCCCATTTCTCAGTGTACACATGGTCCCCAGAGAATGGACATGCCCCCCACACCCCACCCGAAAGGAGAGCTGGGTTTTTTCTTATCTGAGACAACACCTGCCTCAGTGCCAAGACTCCGCCACAGCTGTACTCTCCAGACCTCCAGAACCAAGAGTCTGGACGGGGATTGCAAGGGGACGCGGAGGCTGTGGAAGCCACACTCAACAGCTGGGAGACGCATACATGTCCCTCGGCCCTCAGGGAGCCAGTTAACTGTGGGCAGTGGCTCAGAAACAGGGGCTAGGGTGAGGCTGCACACGCCCATGAGTTAGAGAGGAAGGCAGTGTTAAAACCTGAGAGCAGGGTGCCAGCAAAGGAAGCCTGACCCACTTTTGGCAGTCAAGTTCAGGGTTCTGCCTCACCCTCTGGCTCTTATCAGCTCTTATCAGCTGGTCTCCTAACCTTTCCCAGCTGACTTCTGATCCCCCAAGTCTAGCAGCTGCTTCTCTAGCAAGAAAAACGAGCCCAATTTCAGCTCCCTCTCCATTTGGCACCTGCTTTCTCTAGCGTTGTCCCCTCTGACATCTCTTGTCTCTGCCCCCATAACTAGTTTCAGAAAATTGGTGTTGACAGAGGGGAGGGCAGCCCGGCACGCAGGCAGGGTTTGCGCACTGGGACTCGGGCGCTCTGGCATCTCCTCTTGGCTCTGGGTCTGAGAGACCGTGTGTCCCTTCACCTGCTGGAACCGGTTTCCCATCCGTGAACTGGGAAAGTAGCAGAAGTGACAGTGGCTAAGGGAGTTCTGCAGGAGCTCCTGGAGGGAGAAGTGGGCTGGGAGTTGCTCAGAGTGCAAGGAGCAGTGGGGAAGTGAGCCCTCATGTACCTCGCCAGGTGCAGCGTACCCCGTCCTGTACTCAGGCACGTGTGCCTGCACAGTCTTGAGGCTGCTGCGTGGGAAGGAAGGAGCCACTCAGAGGCCCCTCTCCAGCCTCACCAGGGAGTCGCTGGTGGAGGAAGTGAGGACAATCGTGTCTTGGTGCCGAGTGACATGTGAGCTCTGCGGTATACCAGGGAGAGGGGCTTGAACCAGAGTTTCTTAACTCCACATGGGTCTGGCTCAGACCAAAATGTGAGCTCTAATTTTGTTCCTGGCTAGTCTTTTGTTGTTGTTGCTGTTGTTGTTGTTGTTGTTATAAAAAAAAGAGTAGTTTAAGTAGAAAGCCGTGGCAACCTTTGCATTGGGGCTTGACTAAGGCTATAGTTGAGCTGCTCCCAGGGCCTGGGCAGGGGCTGGTCCACACTGGATGCCCAATAAATACTGATGGGTAGGAGGCTGCGGAAGCCAAGACCCTCTCCTCTCAGAAGAGCAGGGTGCTCCAAAGATGTCGCCCCTTTGCCTGCTGTCTCCAAGCTGCCGGGCATTCTGGCCTGGTCTCTGAGTGCCCAGGTGCCCCTTAGGGCAGTGTCCCCTCACTCCATAGGGCAAACAGCAGGCGGCTGTTCCCCACTGCACTGCGCATGCCCCTCAGCTGGGGAGAAGGTGAAGTGAGCACAATCCCAGCTGTGCTAGCCTTGTTGGCTGTGTGAACTGGGGCAAGTCAAGTGGCCTCTCTGGGCCTCCGTTTCCATGTGATGCCTCAGGGTTCTTAGGAGAATCCACTGAGAGACCCGCACTTGGAAGGATTTAGCACAGGCCTGGCACACAGTAGGGATTCCAGGAAAGGTAGTTCCGCCCCCTTCTTGAGCCTCTCCCTCCTCCCTCCCTCACGCAGAGAACAAGGAAATGTTAAGGAGTTCCCATGTGGCAGAGGGCTGGTGGGCAGGAGGGGGACCCACTCAAAAAACAAGCTCAGCGGCACCTGTCATGGGCACACTGGCCCAAGATCATTGCCAGGGTACAGGTCCACCCAGGGCGGCAGGAGCAGGGGCTCTGGGAACCTGCTGTCAGGTTTTGGGCCTTGGAAGGGGAGGAGGCTTCTAAGGGCTGCAACCCGTGGCTCAGGTGAAGGAAGAAGCAAAAGGGAAGGCAGCGTCAGAGGAGAAAGAATGGGGGCTCCATGGGCTTGAGGTGATGAGGTCAGAGTTTAGAACAGAGCCTGGTGCAGGAGGACAGAGAGGAAGAGAGAACCCAGAAGGGGCAAGAGGATGGTCCTTACTTTCACTCTCCCTGGGGGAGGATGGGTATGCGATGCACTTGGGTGGTGCTTCATCACCTGTGGGAGCAAAGAAGGGTTGTTAGGTGGGTGTCAGGCCCAGGGAGGCTTGTCCAGGCCGGCGTGCCCCTTTCCTGTCACAGCTACTCATGCTGCTGTCCACTTAATAGCATCGGCCCAGGTGGAACCTGCACACGCACACATACACGTGTACACACACACACACACACACACGTGCGCACAGAAGCATATTCTCACGGCACAGCCAGCATGTCCTGCCCATTCGCATGCCACCCCAGCAGCATGTGGACACCTGCCCATACTCACACCTCTGACCAGTCCACTGCCCCCCTGCACTCTCACCTGGAGAGGGACACTCACACATACATTATTCCCCAATAGTCATTGGACCATTCACCAACTCACAGCCCAGGTCACATTGCGCGGTCATGGTACCGTCATGAGCAGTCACATTCCCAGCCCAGGTTCATACCCACTCTTCCATCAAAGAGCCCACTGTCACAAACAGAGCCACGTGGACTCTCCCTCCATCACACCCAGCCGACCAGAGGCACTTACAGCTCCACACGCGTGGCCACCTCATCTCCCACAGCCCCGGAGTGCCACTGCCGCCCTTGCAGAATCATACACCCTTCAGCACAGTATCCCACACAGTCACCACACCCCTGGTCACACTGTCGTCTCTGCTTCCCCTTCCATGTGGGCACATACCATCCCCCCGGGACACCACCCCTAAGCTGTCCCGGAAGAAGCCCTCACCGCTCTGCACTTGCAGCTCCATGGCTCCATAGACCCTCTGCTCCGAGTGGTGATGCTTGATCTCCACCACGAGGCAGCAGTAGAGGCCGCCGTCCAGCGGGGTCACGTGGAGCATGGTGATGGAGAAGTTGCCGTGGTGGTCGGAGATCGACTCTAGCCCATGTTTCTGGGCCAGGTCCTGGCTGGTGTTGGCGGCCTGGTGGCCAGTGTGGTGCAGGTGGAGATCCTGGAACGTGAGGTTGCGGATAGGCCGACGGTCGGAACAGGCCTGTACCTCACCCCGTGAGCTGCGGAACCATGTCTTGTAGAAGGACAAGTCGTGCCCTTTGGTCACGGGGCCCAAGCCCAAGATTTTGCAGGTGAGGGTGACATTCTGGCCCTCGGGACACACGTACAAGGAATACGGCGTGGCGACCTTGAAGGCTGTCACCAGACCTGTCCGAGAGAGGAGAAGCTGTCACCTGCCTGAGCGCACTCTCCGTGGGGAAGAACCTTGGCCTGGGCTCCAAAGATGTGGGTTCCCTAGCCGCAGGCCCCGGCAAGTCAGCTGACCTCCCTGACCTTCCTTTATTCATGAACCCAGACACTGTGGGAGGAGCCATGGGTACCTCCCCAGCTTGGGGATCCCCCTACCCCAGGGATGCTGACTGAGGTGTAGGGAGACTCCAAGCAGGTAGGAGACTGAGCCCAGTCAGCCCAGTCCCTGGGGCGGAGCATGCGCCATGCTCCAGCCTCTCCCCACCCACCCCCCACCCCCCACCACCACTGCAGGCACTGTGGCTCTGCCCTGGGCCGATCCTTGGCACTTCCAGCCTCCATGCCCAGCACTGTCGGGCGGGAGGCAGGATAGGAAGCAGAAAGGCTGTTTGGGAACAGCAGCCCTTTGTCCTGGACCTGTCTTCTGGGGCCGTCAATACCTGACCCTTCCAACTCCGGAGGCTAAAGTGCCTCCTCGCCTCCTCGCTCCTGCGTGTGCACGGCTTGTGCCAGGTGCTACATCTCATCTGCGCGCTGAGCACATGGCCTCCCCGGGGAGCTTACAACCGAGGTGGGCAGACAAGGCCTGTATTTGCAGCCAAGTAGCCCCATTGGCCAGACGACAAACTAGTGCCAACCTCAGAGCACTTGCAGGAGAGGAGACATAGCCTTCCTGGGAGTCAGGAGACTTCTTAAAGGAGGGAGGGTCTTTGAAGTTGATGGACAGTTAGGGTTTCAGCAAGTAGAGAGGCTGCTCTGGGCCCCGTGGCAGGGAAACGGGAAACCCCAGGTGTCTCAGGGACAGAGACCAGGAGTGCGTGGAGGGCCATCTCATCCACGTCCCTGCCTGCTACCGGTCTTCTTAGAAATCTGTTCTAGTTCATTTTGTTCTCAATAAGCCAGGGACATAACCCCTGGTCCTCGTTACCTTACTCCAGTGATGGCGAACCTATGACATGCGTGTCAGAGGTGACACGCGAACTCATTTTTTTGGTTGATTTTTCTTTATTAAATGGCATTTTAATATATAAAATAAATATCAAAAACATAAATCTTTGTTTTACTATGGTTGCAAATATCAAAAAATTTCTATATGTGACCCGGCACCAGAGTTAAATCAGGGTTTTTCAAAATGCTGACACGCCGAGCTCAAAAGGTTCACCATCACTGCCTTACTCCGACCCTTCAGCATTTATTGAAAGCACTGGCCCTTGAAAACAGGATGCCAGGGCTGGGTCCTGGCCCCTCCGTGTAGCTGTGTGAGCCTCCGTTTCCTCGTGTGTGCAATGAGAAAAACAGTACCTACAACACGCGGTTGTGCAAGGACTGGAGGAGGGAAAGCTGAGAACTCAAGACATGAGCTCCCGTGTCCCCTGCAGACATAGGGAGGGCAGCTGTGTTATTAGATGTCGGTGGTACTTTCACTTTAATTGGCATCTCAGGGGCAGTTGTAGGTCGGGCAGACGAGGCAGAGAGTTCGGAAATATGTTCAGAATCCAAATGGGTGTGTCCTTGCCTTGCCATTGCCTGGACCCAAGGAAACACCACGTCCTTCAGACGCCCTCGCCGGCCTTAGAGCCCGGGACCCGCCGGCTGATCTGAAAGCCGTGCCCAGTTAGGATTCAAAGCAGCCTGGTGTGCCTTGGGAATTAGACCAGCCTGCCTTGGAGCCCAGTGACTGAGTTCCTTAAACTCTGAGCCTTGGACTCCTCGTTGTGAAACAAAAACGAAAACATCTACCTGCCGGAGCTGAGGCAAGGATGGCAAGTAATTTGCGTGAAGTGCCCAAAAGTGCCTTGCTGGCGTCGGTGCTTGATGCATGGGAGCTAGAGGGGCCGCTCATTCATTTCGGCAGTTGAAGGAGCAGTCCCTGGGGGTGAAGAATAGTTCTGCACAATCGAGTGGGTGAGCCAGCTTCCAAGCCTTTTCCTCGGAGGTGTGAGGGACTGAGACCAGCTTGTGGTCCAGCCTTGGAAGGCTGCACGATGACAGCAGGGTGTGGGGAGGCAGCCACGCCGGGGGCCCAGGGAGTATGTCTGCAGGTGTAGAGTGTTAGGCCCCAGCAGGTAAGGAAGACAGAACACACTAGACCTCCCAGTCGCCACCCACGAGTGAGGGAGCCAGGTCTGGGAGACCCGGATTTAAAGACAGTCACTGCTGAGGTGGGCAGAGAGTTCAGAACTTCTGTGGCCAAATGCTGGCCTCCTTTTCAGGCAGAAATATAGGAGCACAGAAAGAGAAGGTGGTTTGCCTGAAGTGCCAGGGGATATGAACTCAGAACGTGGAGCAGGGGGGCTTCAGGTAGAGGAGGACCTAGTTAGAACTAGAAGAAGAAGAAATAGACTGTATCGTGTACTGTGCTGGGTGCTTTATGGGCATGTCTAGCAACCCTATAGCATGGATGTTGGGGATTTTTTCCTGTTTCACTGATAAGGAAACTGAGGCACAGAGATAGTAAATAACTCACTGAAGATCACACAGCCAATAAGTGCAAGAGCCAGAATGAAATGCAGGCAATCAGACACTATTCTGAGCGGGGGGACACGAGAGGGGATTCAGAAACGGGCAGCCCATTGCCACATCTAGCCTTCAGACATATTTTACTTGACCCTCAAAGTATTTTGCCTTTGTTTGAAATCGCCAACATTTAAAAACCAGGAATTTGATATGAAAATTCTGACCCTTGGTGTCTTTGAAAATCAGAAAAATTAACACAGAACCAGTTTTCCTATTATCGGCTAGAGCTGAGTAGCAGCCTCCCATCTAGACGGTCCATTGGTATCCCAGCTTGCCACAGTCCTCACTACTCCCTAATGTCTGTGCCTGGCCTGCTGAATTCACTCTCTCACCATATTTGCTTGGCCCCATGGACATTTGAGTTTGTGACCCACGAGAATGACTCCTTGGTCTGGCCAGTGAGGGACTCTACTGCTCAAGCCCATCACCCTACAGACGTGACCCTCAATCTCTGAGAGGAGGTGACCCACCCACGGCCCCAGCAGAAATTCCCAGGCTGTGCCCCTGACTGTGTCCCTGCCAGCCTGGGCCCCCCTCACAGGCCTGTGCAGAGTGGGCGTGGCCTCAGAACTCTGGCTGTGCCAGTGAATGGAGGTGGGGAGTGGCTAGGGAAAGGGTGCCCCCAGGAAGAACAAAAACCTACCCACAGAGTAGACCCTGGAGTTACCTCTGCCCGGTGCACACCCTGTCCCCAGCAGGCCCCTGGCAGCTCCCACCAGCACCTCTCCCAGGTGGTGCCCCTGTTCCCTCTTCCCAACATCACTGCCAGCCCCACAGCTACCCCAGGGCAGGGAGCTGAACCCAGATCCAGCAGCATTTGCAGGGGTGCCCACACCTGGGGGCTCTCAGGAGGGCAGCTCTGGAGATGTTGGTCGGCACATCTGAAGGGGAGGCAGGGGACAGGCAGAGTAGAGGTGGAAGCAAGAAGTGGAGCATGAAGCTGAGCCAGGTGGGGACTGCTAAGGGGACAGGGGCGTGGATGGGGTGGGCTGAAATGTAGACAAGGTGGAGCTAGCTTGTGGTGGGGGGGTGGGGCAGGGTAGGAGCAAGCAGCAGGACCTCCAATGGGGGCATCAGGCCCAGGGCCCTCAGGGTCCAAGCAGCGGTGTGAATGACCATAGAATTGCCTACATCAGTGCCTTTTCAGCCCTAGAGGCAATTTCCTTG